AGGTAAACGCTTCCTCCTGGAAATTTTCCTTGGTTTTACAGAACAAGTTCCTATACTTCCCAAACCAAGATTGTTTGGCAAGCAAGACTACGAGGTATTTATGGCTTTGCACTAGTCCTTTACCAAGAATTTGAGATTAACCATCTTGGTAGCTTTTTTTCCTTTGGATAAGGTCGTTGCAATTTTTTACTTTAAATCTTCAGAAATTGTCAAACAGTTTCAAAACCGTGGTAATATTGTGTAAGGTTTTAAGGCTGCTTTTAAAATTGATTTACTTTTGGGGGGTGGGTATGTGAGTTGAACAACTTTGAAAGACTTCAGACTTGTTTCTGGCTCTTTATCAAATTTTAACTTTGTAACTTTCAGTGCTGGTTACTATAAACACTGGAAAGTCACAAGGTGACATTTAGTCAGTGCTCACAGTAAGGTGTAGGTATTTTCCTTACAGCCATAGGAAATGGTTTACACAGGAATCTTAGGATTGACTAGCAACCATTGAACTACATGTGAGTGAGTGACAGCAGATCACACTCATCAGTATTCCAACATAATCAGACAAATGCAGATTGTAATTGAAGGGAAGCTTTAATGCAAACGAGGTCTTAACCAGTTATGATTGAAGAAAAAAAAAACAAAAAAAACATTTACACCACTGTGCAACTAAACAAGAGCAAAATTAGTACATTCCTAGAGCCCAACTCAAGGCCTTTTTGAGTGTTTTTGGATTCAGGGTGAATGTCTGCACTGGTTGTTTCAAATCCTACCTGGCCTTCCTTGGCATCTTCATTATGCTAATATACACCTGTAGAAGTATTCTGGATTGGAATACTTTGGTGTGGCATGACTCTCAGGCATCTGAGATGGAGCCCTGGCTTAGTCTGATATTTGGATGGTAGTGCCATTCTCAGTTACCAAGAGACAACTTATCCTTGCAGGATGTAATGCTGACTTTAAGCAAATTGAAAACTTTTAGTACTAAAGTGCTCTGGTTCAACTTTACAAGGTTTTATAAATCCATTCAGTACTGAATATCATCTTACTTTAAAGAGGTACTCATGGAAGAAAGTGACAATAAAACAATGGATTCACTAGAGTTAGTCTATTTTTTCATGGGTTTAGTAATATGTGGAGCTATTGGCCTGAATTATGCACGATTCTTACTATAGCATTTCCAGGCAATATTCCATGTCTCCCATTTTATAGAAAAGGAATTTAAACCTAAGAGATTTAGCTAAATTGGCCAAATTAACATTTCTAGCAGAAATAACTTCCAGCATGTCTCACACCAAACCCATACTCTTAATATCTTTTTATCAACAAATTTGCCCCCAAATTTCAATGACCTAGCACCAAAAATATTTAACTGAATATTTTCAATTACTTATTGAAATAATATTTTATTAGTTTTCATTTGTTTTTCACTTTAATGTGGCATTAGAAAATTTTTAGTTCCATGTGGATTATATTTCTGAGGAATATTGCTAGTATGTAGAAGTTATACTGACTCACAGATAACTAACTAGTTTTAATCCTTAAATTTACCAAGTCTCCATTCTTCATCTCTAAAATGGGAGAATAATGGTACCTACCTCAAAGTGCTGAGACAAGGGCATTTCTGCAAACAAAGGTAAGCAGCAAAGTGCTTGGCATGCTGTGAGTGCACTCCAAAAGCCAGTTCCCAGGACCTTGGCACTGCTTCCTTAATCACTGTTCCCTTAAGTCCTCTAAGGATCTAGTCCTTTCATGGCCATGTTCAGATTTCAACCACAAACAAACCCACTTTCTACATTTCCTCAGGGCACATAGCTCAAAAACCTAGAGCTTTACCCATTGGGAGTAATAGGAAATTTACTTTTTCAGCCATGAAATCACTATGCAAGAAAGTCTGGAGTAATGCATTGCAAGTAGCCTGTAACATCTGTTATTTATTCTTCTATTATACATAGACAATTTCTTGAATTTTCATGGTTGAGTTGGTCAGCAGATTAGTTTATGAAACATTTATTGTCATTTTGGCAAAATTATCAGTGTTTGGGAGAATTACTTGAATATATTATTGCCACTTGCCAATATTTTATAAAACTAGATGAAAAACTGAAATGATAATATTAATGACAAATATGGATTTTGAAGAGGATCAGAATGTCACCCCAAAATATGCCATAATGTCACAAGTATTATTTTGAGCTGAAAGAAATTGAAAATCAACAGATGCAGGAAGCATTCTGTTTTCTCCTTACCTAACTAAAATTAGGTCATAAGTTCCACTCTGTAACCATTGCATTAATGTTTCTTGTAAAGGTGTTCCCTGCTCCTATGCCTAGAACAGGAGAGCAACCTGTATTACTTCAAGTAAAGAGGTGGTACTGAGAGGAGTCTGGAAGAATAAATCTTCCTAAAGAAGCATTTATCTTCCTTTAGTTTTGCCCATATATTTCTTATTCATTTTCCCTAAAAGTATCCCTGCCTTGAAGACCAAGCTTCCTTTCCTTTGCTACAATGTTATATACATTCCATTGTCTGCTTTCCCTTCCTTTTTATGAACTCTGTGCAAGTAAAATACTATTAAAATTATATAGATTTTTTTTATTCTCCTGTTAATCTATCCTTTGTCAGATAAATTTGCTGGTCCTCAATTACTGACCCTAACAGGGTAGAGGAAAAGCTGTGCTCCATGACTGTTTCATAAACTAAATCAAAAGACTAGGATTTTTTTTCTTAGAATGGCCAATTTTAAGATTCAAAGAGTGGTTCATTAGAACTTATCCAGACAACAATGTGAAAAACTGCAAGGGAATGGACAAAACTAAAGAACATGGACAAATTGAGGAAATATATTACTGAAGACTGTAAAGGCAGGTTTTTATGAAATTTAGCTCACTATAGTACAAGGAATATTACGTTTGAAAGAATATCTTTGATGTATGGAAATAATTTTGCAGGGAATAGTCAGTATTAAAATCATTTGTAAGTATATAAAATCAAATATATTGAGATCCCAAAAAACACTGAAGGAAAAATATAAAATCACTTTTTTTGCTTGGGTTGATTCCTCCCCTATTTCTTGAAGGAGGTACCAAAGTCAAGTAATTGGTAATTTCAAATAAAGAAGAAAGGGGCACAGAAATGAACACCCTAAACATCCTGAATATATGGAAATGTAGCAGGCATATTTGGAATATCTTAATTAAGTGTCCAGGTTGTTGTAACCTGATTCAAATTGAAAGTGAGGTGGCCCCAGGCAAAAGTTCAGATGGCCTAAAGAACCCAGGGCACAGCTCTCACCCATGCCTTTCTGGACAGGTTTGCTCTATTCTACTCATTTTGCCCTAAGGATACCTTGGTTTTTCCTTTGTATTGTCTAGGAAGCCACCTGCTATGCCCTGACATCAGGTCATCTCTGCTTCTATAACTCAATTCTAGTTTTTGAATAAGTTTTGATTGGCTCAAACTGGTTCAATGGCCTCTACCAACTACTGTTGTTTAAGGTCAGATAATCTATCCTCAAGTTTTTAGTAAACATAAGATATATTTTAAAAAAATATCATTTGAAACAAAGATGAGACCACAGTAGGCCAGGATGAGACCAGAGAGCACTGTAGAGTGGCACTCTTCATATGTCCACAAGGCACAGAAGGCTAACTGAGCCCTGGAAATGGGCTACTATGAACTGTGTTGTAAATGTAAAATACACATGAGATTTTAAAGAGGGGGGAGGGGTGCAATGTAGAATATCTCATATTTGTATTTTTTGTTGGATGATAATGTTTTGGATATGTTGAGGTAAATTAAGAATATAATTAAAATTGATTTTTTTTTTTTTAGTTGCTTCTAGGAGGTTTAAAATTATTGTGTGGCTGACACTTATATTCACCCTATTTAGCAATGGATAGGACTGATCTACAAATTGTTAATTCACTTGTGCATCAATTTCAATAACCAAGTGGCTTCAATGTACACTTTGAGATATTCTCAAAAAAAAAAAAAAAAAAAACTAAAATATTATAGGATGCTATTTTGAACAGCAAGAAAGAAAATAAATATCAAAGGCAATAAGATAGTTGGAGAAAATTTTAAATTGAGTAGAAAACAAAAATACTTGGACAGAAAAACAAGAAATTTCTTGCATAATAAAACTCCTGCCTGGGGCCTGGGTATCTTGTAATCCCACCAAATGAAGAGGCTGAGGTGGGAGAACCTCAGTTTCCAAGCCAGCATTATTAACTGATCTAGCTAGACCCTCATCAACTTGAGGAGACCCTGTTTCAAAACAGAAAAAAAAAAAAAAAAAAAGGACGTAGCTTAGTGGTAAAATGACCATGGGTTCAATTCGACAGTACAAAACGAACAAATTCCAAAAACCTTCATATCTATAAATTAATAATTTATAATTTTAGCACAATACCAGTAAAATTTTTTTTATTTGAGTGACTGGGTGCGGGGTGATGGAGTTGGAGGGCATCTTAAAGGACATACGTAAAAACAAATTAAGCCAAAAATAAACAATTCTTAAAAAAAAAAAAAAAAGCAATGAAAGTCGTATTAAAGTCACAGTATCTCAATATTATTTGAGTACCTATGTTTTAGGTATTGTTGGCATTGAAGATAGTGTTGAGAACACTTAAAACAATGATCCTACCTCAGAACTGACCATAGAGAACAAAGGAACTAAATGTAATCCGGAAATTTAGCCCACATATCTGTGGAGTTTAGCGTTTGGTAAAGGGGACTTACTGGGTAACAGTAAGTCACTCCTGTTACTGTAAAATCGACAATACAAACTTACTGAAGAACCATGGGAGGCCTTTCTTGCATCCCTCCCTTCCTCCCTTCTAGGTGATAAACTTCCCCCGTGAATTAACTCACAGTGGATTCATCTAGTGGAAATGGTGGGAAAACAGCAGCAGGTCTCCGGAGGCTCCATCGCTATACGAAAAAGCAGGAGCCAGCGTATCTGTACCCAAGGGAAAGGCCGCTTAGGGAAGGACCAAGACCGCTCATGAAAGTTAAAGGCTTTATTAGGTAGAAACATGCCTCCCATCGTACACACCGGACAGTTCACAAGTAGAAAACCTGGACGAAACCAAAAAGCCTTTTAAAGCAAGTTTGATTATAGTTTTTCTGAAATTGCGGATCCGCTGGACAAAATGGCCAAGTTGTTTTCAAAGCCTGCACCACCACACCCATCCGGACCAGCGCGGAAGGGACGAGGACCTCGGAGCAGCCTGGGCGGGACGGGAGGCGGCTGGGCCCTCCGAAGGCCTCCGTGCAGGGGAAGCAGGCAGAGGCGCACCCACCCTCCGCAAGGTCCGGTGCCACCAAGTCCCCAGTACACGCCGCCGGGCTCCAGGCAAGGAAAGCGCCGCCCGACCGGTGCGGTGCGCGGAGAGGGAACTCCTTACCCTACGGAAAGCCGGAAGGGCTCAGCTGCCGCCAATTACACGCAGGATGCGGGCGCGGGCGGGCCAACCCAGAGCAGCGCGGGACTTTCGAACCGCGGGGCACTCCAATCCGGGCCGACCGTAAACACGGGCTCGTCCCCTTCTCGGTCACAGGGCTGCTCCGCCCTGGGGCGGGGCTGGCGGCTGTCCCGGGTGCTTCTGCCGCGAGAAACGCCGCCCCTGGACCGCAGGCCGGGCCAGGAGCCCCGCTGACGGCCGCCGGGGACGGCTCCCGCGGCCCACCAACTGCCAAGCCCGTGGGAAGAAGGCCCGACGCGGTCCGGTCGTCGAGGGGATAAGGACGCTACAGTGCCGAGCTCTTTCTTTGAGATCAGTGGTGGCTCTGAAAAGAGCCTTTTGGGTTCGAGAGGGAGACCATGACATTCTACTTCTTCCGGGGAGCCGCCTTCTTGGGCTTGGCAACCTTGGGCTTGGCGGCCTTGGGCTTCACGGCCTTAGAAGCGCTCTTGACCTTCTTGGGCTTGGCCACCTTGGCCTTCTTAGGACTCTTGGCCACCTTCTTGGTCCCTGCAGCCGCAGCCGGCTTCTTGGCCTTCTTTGGGGTCTTCTTCGCGGTCTTCTTGGGGGTAGCCGTGCCTGTAGCCTTCTTGGGCTTTTTGGCAGCTCCGGCGGGCTTCTTCGCCTTGGCCGCCCCTGCCTTCTTGGCCTTGGGCTTGGCTTCCCCGGAGGCCGCCTTCTTGTTGAGCTTGAAGGAGCCGGAGGCGCCGGTGCCCTTGGTCTGCACCAGGGTGCCCTTGCTCACCAGGCTCTTGAGGCCCAGCTTGATGCGGCTGTTGTTCTTCTCCACGTCGTAGCCGGCGGCCGCCAGCGCCTTCTTGAGCGCGGCCAGGGACACGCCGCTGCGCTCCTTGGAGGCGGCCACAGCCTTGGTGATGAGCTCGGACACCGGGGGTCCAGAAGCCTTGCGGCGCGCCCCCGCAGGCTTCTTGGCAGCCTTCTTCTTCACCGGGGTCTTCTCCGCCGGGGGCGCGGCGGCAGGAGCGGCGGGAGCTGTCTCCGACATGCTGAGGGCCTAGGACTCGGGTGCGAGTAACAGTACGCCGATGCAGCGCCGCGCCGCGCCGCCGTATATATAGAGCGCAGGCGCGCGCTGATTGGTGCGCCGGGCGCCCGCGGCTGGCAGGCTCGGAACCGCCGCGCTGCGCCCGAGTTGTGTTTGTTCCACCTCACAAAAAGGAAAAAATATCAAAATACCCCGCACCAAATCTCTCGAATTTGATCAGGAAAGGATCCTAGAAGCCTCAGGCTTCCTGATCTCCAGCTGTTTTTTCTACAGACCCAAAGACAACGCGTCTAAGCGCCCCCAACTCCCCCAACTCCAAAGGAAGTCCAGGGCACTCAGAGATCACTTTCTGTTTTTCTTCTAAATTACCTGGTCGCTCTTTTATCCCTGAAAGTTCTTCTTCTCAGGGATGATTGAGCACATGCTTCCCTTCTTTGGGGAACAAAAATGAAATGATTTCCACCTAGATTTTCACGATAATTTTGTTTCTTCGCAAGGGAAGTAACACAGGTCCTCTGTGAATTCTGCATACAGACCCAGGGTAACTGGGACTGGGACATGGGTTTCCTGAGCCGGTCCAGAGTAGCTCGGGCAGGGTGGGATGGGGTCCATAAACTCTGGGGGGGTCCTGAGTGGTGAGAGGCTAGGGGCTTAAATCTTTGACTTAAGGACGGTGAAACTACCAAATCCCTCTTTTCATAGATGGGGGCGGGGCACCCTTTTCTCTTCTCCAAAGGCGAAAAATTGGGCTGTTTAAAAAGCTCTCCACTTCCCCTCTGAGTTGTGCAAAGCAGGGGGTCTGGCCCTCAAGAATAGAGATAATACCGAAGGAAAGGAGGTCCTTAAGGCCATAAAGAACCCCCACAGACTTAGAAACATTGAGATGATGTTCTCAAAGAAAACAAGCATTTATTTATATATTTATTTCCTTTGCTGCATTACAGGGATTAATTTCAGCCCATGAAAAATGAGGTTACTTCCAGTATAAATATCTTATTCATGATTCAGAAGAACTCTCTATAGTCAGAAACTATAAGATACAATTAACTTTAATAAAACACACTTTTGACTTAGGTGAATTGTTGATTTAAAGTAAAAAGAAAAGGTAGCAAAATTTTAATCAGAAAGAAAAAGTATCAGAATATATAAATTATTATACCTTCTGTTGTTGGTGAGTTCACTATCACCTCCCAACACTCCCTCTAAAACTGGCCAGCTCTATTCTAAAGTTTGCTTTGCTAGTTTAAGCAAAGCATATTTCACCTTTTGCCTCCAAGTGATAGCAATTTTTATCCTCGAGATAAGAGGCAAAATAAACTTTCTGATTATATGTTTAAAATAACTGGGAATTTACACTTGAGGACAAAAGGAAGCATTACAATTCACCAGAAATTCCTGTTTAATCACTTGACTACATGAAAATATGTGTTAAAGATGTCACCCTTAGATGTGGTAAAGTCAAAGGGGTCATACAAGTTGAATTCAGTGACATGTGAAAAACAAAATATGTTTTTTAAGCAAAAAATGACCAGTGGTATCATTGAATTACATTTGCTTAACATTGGCAGTGTCTGCTACTTCTACTACTGCTCATGTCCTGTGGGAATTAACAGTCTAATGAGATTAGGGATGGATGAAGGGCGGCAGTAGAAAACCACTTTAGCCTGAAAGTCTTGAAAGTGTACAAACAATTGAAGTACCTTTATCATACTCATATGTTTCAGTAAAATGAATGAAATAAGAAAGTGTCACTTTTCTCTGATTCTATGGGCACTGGGTCTCTTCCTCATCTTAAACTCAGCAAAATGTTACTACAATTAGAGTAGCCGACCACCTAAAATCTTGTCCTGATTTCAAGGCTGAGTGGTAGAAGTGAGAAGGCAGAGAAATATAGAACCCTTCTCCAGATCCCTAGTAATTTGTGTTGAGAAAAGTTATACAGAAACTTAATAATAAGGGGAAAATATATTGTATTCTTCTAGTTATATTAAACAACTATCAAAAAGCCAGCTTGTGGGTCATCTGATGCGCTAAGGCAGTGTTAGAAAATAAAGCAGAATGTGAGTTACTTACATTTTTTTTTTTAATTTTTGTAATAGTCATAGTGAAAAAAAATTTTAAAAGCTGGATGTACTGGTGAAGATTTCTAATCTTGGCTACTAAGGCAGCTGAAGCAGAAGGATCACAAGTTCAAGGCCAGCTTAGGTAACTTAGCAAGACCCCATTTCAAGAAAAGAAAAAAAGAAACAGAAAAGGTAACGTTGACTTAAATAATAGATTTTATTAACTCACCATATCAAAATATCACCACTTCAACATAATCATGCATTTTAAAATTATAAATCTTCAAAATCTGATGTATATCTTATACTTGGAGAATATTTCACTTCCAAATGGCCATATCCCAAGTGTCCAGTGTGGCTAGTGATTACCATGTTGGACAATAAGTACAGCTGGAGGTGAAGCTAGCCTTGATTTTAAGATCTAGTTTTGATTGGGCTCACAATATGTAAAATTTGATGTTTACTTTTAGACAATTACTAAATTAATAATGTTTTGTCCAGTAGAGTTACAAATGCCAAAAGGCTGTAAAGGAGCTGGGGAGAGAAAACCAACAGCAAGATACACTCAAAGGATAGTGAGAGTGGTTGGGACAGGTGGAAGGAACAGGGCTGATGCTGGCTTTTCTTTCACTTTCTTCTTTCCAGCATGCCAGAGCAGGATCCTGTCGGCCTTTGAAGGTAGTTTACTGACATTAATAGATTCTGCTGGTCTATTCCCTTGCTTTAGTTTTACAAAGCATGGTTATAGATAATAGCAAAACTTTCTGGGTTTTATTTTCAGTCTTTGCAGGCAAGTGGGCAACAATTAGGATTAAACTTGACCGGAAGTGTTTTCACCACCAGCCTATGAGCACCTGAAGGGCAGAGAAGAAAACTACTTCATTTTAACTCCATGGCCCACCCTCCAAATGCACTGGGGAAAATGACAGATAACACAGTGGTAAAGCACTTAATAAATACATAGAAAGTATTACAAAAGGAGCAATACATTGCAAAGTATAGTTACCTAACATTTTGAAATTGCCATTGGAACTGTGTGACATGGGAAACAAAATCATCACTAGCCACCTTACGCTTCAATTTTTTTTTCCAAGTCAAATCTACCGTCAAAAGATAAGGATTTGGCAGCCATGAGAATACACATTTTTATACCCTCTCAATCTAGGCCTAAAATGAGGTCAATTATATGGCACAAGATGCAAATATAACACATATAATATATAACATTTATATAAGATATACACATATAATATATAAACAATAACCTTAATCAAAGTGCATAATTTCATATAATGATTATCTTGCAGAAAACATGGACATATATATATTACAAGACTTGTTAGGACAATATTATTTTAACCGTGTCCATTGGTCTGCTGTGCATTAGCATTTCACATACTTAGTGAACTCTTGTTCAAGCACAGCATACCAAGAGTGAATAGAAGTCAAGATCAACCAAGGACTTCTCTCCTTTCAAGGATGCATGCCTGGAGGGACTGGCACAGACAAGCATTAACCATCCTACAGTGTGATGGGGAAAACACAGCCATTGAGAACAGAAGAGTAAGAAAGCAAAAATGTCAATGTACTGGTTAAACATTTTCTTTCTAGTATTTTCCAATCCAGTTGGGAAAATAAGATACAGAAGCATAGTTTAGACCAGTGATTCTCAGTGGAGCTCTGGGGTACATGTCCATGATCCTGGCAACTATAGAGGCTGAGGCAGAAGGATTGCAAGTTCAAGGATAACCTCAGAAACTTAGTGAGTGCCTGTCTCAAAATTTAGAAAAAATGTTAAAAAGGGCTGGGGATGCAGTTCAGTGGTAAAACACCCCTTCATTTAATCCTCAGTACAAAATTTTTTTAAAAATCGTGATTCTCAAACTTTTAAATGTCAAATCCCCTTACATGACTAAAAATTGGCAAGGCCTCTGAAAATCTTTATTTACATATGTTATATGTATGATATCCACTACTTCATGTGTTGAAAGTCTACATAAGTAAAATGGCAATAATACTGCTACCTGTTTCACAGGTTGTAATGAAAATTAGTGAGCTAATAATTACATAGTTCCTAGAACAGTTAGTACCTAGCATATTTTAAGTATAAGTACATACATAGAAAATAAATCAAAATTATTTTAAAATATTGTACACAGACTCTTGTATACAACTAATGGTACCTTTCTGTATGTAATACTAATAAAGATAAGTTCTTTTAACACTTTCTGTTGCACCAGGCATTATACGCAATGTTTTCATTTCAGTTACCTACATCCTACGTGACAGCTACCATTTACAGTCACCGCCACGGTCACCAATAAAGAAATGGGGATTGAGAGACTTCTCTGAGACATCGCTGCAGACTGACTGGTTGAGATACCCTACACACACACCCATACACACCCATACACACAAATGTGTTAAAATACTAAGTGAACCAAAGACTTACTGGATAAGACTTGTATTTCTATTTATGCAGTGAATAAAATTAAAATACACCACTTATTTTGTTAGACTATTAACTTCTTGCTAATCTATTTAGTACATTTTCAATGGAGGTATTTTCAACCCTGCAGATATAACCTGGGTGGACTTCACATCTTCCCTCTCACAATCCCAGGCATTTACAATATGAACGCTGTTTCTTCTGGTGGACACTAGATGGCGGTGCAGAGCAGGAGTGTGTGTTTAGTTGGATTTCTCCTGACCTTAGATAATTATTCCTCTCCAGCTATGGCTATGCACTTAGTTTTCCATTCCTTTCAGTGCACAGACATTATCCCCAGTTGACAGTAATTCTGAGTCACTGGGAAGTCTTGAAGCCGCAGTGATTCCACAAGCAGGAAAGAACCTGGGAGGAACAAAATAAGTGCCTTGGGCTCTTGTCTGAGTGGCCTAGAGAAGTCATGCTGATTCACTTTACAAAGGCTCCATCAGCACCTTCACTAAACCCAGCACTGTGCTGGGCTCAGAGGACAGAGACT